GGAGGGTTGGACTAGATGACCCACAGAGGTCCCTTCCAACCCTGAACATGCTGTGATTCTGTGATAACGAGTTTTTGGCTTCTGAGATCCACACTGCAGCAGGACCCCTACTTTCTAGAGGCTTCTGCTTCAAGCTGGCAGGAGTGTCCCCACGGGGACCTGTTGCCCTTAAGGAGGGGAGGCCAGATGGTGCTGTCACGGCTGTGAAAGCTGTTCAGCTTCCACAGAGCTGAACCAGTGATTTTCTTGGGTTTTCATGGTATTTGCTATTAGGCAGCACCGTGGGCTCAAAGGTGTTTACTGGAAGTCTGTAGGGATCATTTCAGAGCAGGGGAAACTGAGTCACAGGGTGATGCCTACCACTTGGGGTCAGGAGGAGAATCCTGTGGGCCTGCTCCCAGCCATGCAAAGGTAATGACATGGTCTTCAAAGCAGTGGCCACCAGGGCTTGCCGCCCATGGTTGGTAAAGGCTGATGCAGTGCCTGCAGCACTTGGGAGCACTTTGGGGCGCTCCCTGATGCCAGAGAGCAGGGATGAAAAGCCAGGGCTCCTGGGACAGCAGCTGCATTCCCAAACTGGTAGGGAAGCTCCTCTGCACCTTCTAATCTTCATGGATGTCTAGGTGCAAAGGACACTGTCAGCCAGCACCCTGGTCCTTTCTCCTGTGTCCTGTCCTGCCAGCCCTGGGGCTGCTGGCTCAGAGAAAACACCAATCGCCCCCTAAATTTGTTAAGGCGGTAGGAAGAAGCCCCTTTGAGGAAGATGAAGGCTCCGATCAGCTCAGCCCGTTCCTGCCTGGGAACGCAGTGCTCCCTTGGATGTTGACTTTGCAGTCCTGGAGCTTGAGGAGGGGATGGAAGGGCCACTGAGCTGTAAAATATGTAAGTTGTGTAGTATTAAAAATACATCAGAAACTTCAGATTGATGGCTGCGTTTGCTCTTCTCCGCGAGGAGGGCTTAGTACTTCGAGCTTGCGTGGGCAAAGCAGCTTGAGGGTTTATTTAGTGAAAACAGAGGACCATGTCCAGCCTGTTTGGGCAGAGGGTGTGCACAGACGAGCACCTGCTCCAGGACAGTGTCTGCCTTGTGTAAACCCGTACACCAGGCAGAGCGAGACCTCCAGAGGAAGAGGAGCGTGGCTGGGAGCGTCTTGTGGCCAACGTGTGCGTCCCAGGCGTGGGTGGCTCCAGGCACCCCTTTACCCCGCGAGCACCGATGCTCGGTCCTGTGTGGTGCGTTGGAAGGACGGTGCTGTGTGGGTTGGGTGAGGGCCTGGCAGCAGGCTGTCACCAGGTGTGTGTTTGGGGTGAATCATTAATTGACCAAAAGGAAAAGGTACTCTGATGTCAGCTAGTGATTCTGCAGTTTTCCCCCAAACCCAGGGACCGGGCTCAGCCTGTCCTCCCTCCTGCTTTGGAAGAAAATGGCTTTTCAGAAATCAGACTTTTTTGCTACGGTTTCAAAAACCAAACTCTTGTGCTTTAGCTTTCAACTTCTCTGTTTTTGCTGGTTAAGGCTCTTTGCAGCACCTTTGGCCACCTTGACCTGAGGGCAGGCAATGGTGGGAGGGTGGAGTGGGCAGTGGAGACAACACCTCTAGGCTGGTCCCTTGTTCCTTGGCCATCGGCAGCCCTCATGGGCACACCACAGTCCATCTCCAGACCTCTCCTCTGGCACCTGGGGAGGACAGGAGGGATATGAACGAGGCCAGGAGCTGGCCAGGTTTCTCCCAAAAGTGCAGGAGCATCCCTATCCACATGGGCCAAGCAGCAGCAGGGAATGCCCAGCCAACACTGGCAGCACAGTTATCTGCAGTGGGTTTGCTCCCCACTGAATGTCCCCCAGCTTCTCCAGCCCCACGTTGTCCCAGGCCGCCTGCAGCTGCCAGGACTCTCCCAGGCTGCAGGGAGGATGAGAACTACATGAGTGGAGCCACCCAGGTGGGTACAGGTCGATATTAAATGCGGCCGACGTGAAACGCTGTTTTGGTTCAAGCTTGTCAGAAAGGCTTGTTTCCGCCAGAACAGCAGAATGGACCAGTTCCTGATGGTGTCTGGTTTCGTTCTGCAAGCCGTTCTGAGATTTTTATTTGCTGTTCGCATAGGATGAGTATAAATGTCAAAATCTGAGTCTGAGCAACCACTCTTGGGATGGAAGCAAAGTTTTCCATCAGTTTTGATTAGAGTACGCTCGGGCAGCTGTACCGAAGAGCTACGTGACCTCAGAGAAACCCAGCAGAAGGGTGAGCGCAGCACTGCCGGTGTTGATCCCGATTTTTCTCCATCCAGCCTTCAATGGAGTTTGCCCAAGTGAGGCAGATGGGAGGATAATCTGAGAATGAGCTGCAGTCCTTGACCTCTGCTAGGTAAAAGCAGACCCAAACCTGTGTTTTGGCTGCCTGTGCTCTGGCACCGTGGCAAGGTGCGCGCGTAGAGGCAGTTGCAAGAATGGAGGTCTCTGGTGCTGTTCCCATCCTGCAGGAAGGGGATGAAACCGAGAAGCTGCTTGGACAGTGCACCAGTGGATTTGGTGAGAGCCGAGGCAGTTACCCAGTGTTACGGCAGCGAGATGCCATTGGGAAGAACTTCCTTTCCTTCCAGGTTTTCCCGTGCTTTGTCTCCTCTCTCCTACACCTTTCTCTTGGTGGGGCAGTGGCTCAGCTGCCTGCTAGCTGGGACCAGCCAGGACTTAGGTGACCAAAGTCCGAGCAGAATGAAACTTGCTGTCCAGCTAGCAAAGGGTGATGTGAGCGTGGCACGTACCTGCCGATCTCCTCTCTCCCCTAGGCGCTCAACGGCTTCGTGCTGGTGGTGACGTCGGAAGGACTGATATTCTACTCCTCACATACAATTCAGGACTATCTGGGGTTTCATCAGGTTGGTGGGACACCTCTGACTCGCTGTGGTGGGTTTGCAGGGTGGATTCTTTCCTTGGGGGTGGAGAGTAGCCACAAGTTCCCCACGAGGAGGAAGCTCTGCAGGGATCACAGGGTTCTGGGGGACTGCGTGGGACTTGTCCTTGGTCTTGTGAATTTGCACCCAATGTTGCCAAGTGTGGTCGTGGGGAGGTGTCAAAGCAACTTCTCTAGCCCAGAGAGGCTTTCCACCAGCCATGTAGAGAGGCTATGAGGTTCACAGGCCCATCATGTAATGCCATGGTGAGACGTCTGGGGTTCTCTGCCCAGTGTGCCTTTGCTCACCCACTCCTCTGGGTGACCCCTGGCAAATCCCGTAAGGCTCCAGTGCTTTGTGGTTATCTGAGCACCCAGGTAACCTGGAAGGCACTAGGTTGGACTTATGGGGAAGTGGGACTTGCCTACAGCCCTTTAGTTACTGTGGTTTGGTGTTGCTCCCACACAGCTGGCTTTCCCCAGCTTCTGGGGTAGATGAGGACTGTCCACCTGGGCAGAAGGCACAAGTCCCGGATCGGGTGCCTTCTTCTCTTAGTAACAGTGTAGGGCTGGGGTGGCTTTGCTGCTGTTTTGTTCCCAAACCCATGTTTTCATCTCATCCTGTAAGTCAGCACTAGGATTTTGAAAAGCACCATGTTATGGGACAAGCTGGTCAGAGGGGAGCTGTATTGCTGATGCTAGTGGCTCTTCAGGATGCGGGTGGGGGCAGGCCTGGCCCAACACAGCCAAGCGGTCCTTAGACCTAGATGTGCTGTCTGTTCCCACCAGCATCAGCTCTAGGGGAAGGTGTCAAACCTCATTCGGCCAGGGACCTAGTGGAGCACCCGGAAACTTGGGTGAGATATGGCCCACTGGGGCTGTGACGGGCTGTTTCAAGGTGGGGTGTGAAAGCTGGTGCCTGGGGTCAGGCCACAGAGCTTCCCGAGTTGCTTTTTTCCTCCAGACGGATGTCATACACCAGAGTGTCTTTGAGCTGATCCACACCGAGGACCTTATTCAGGCGCAACCTCCACTGGGCACTCAACCCACCCCACGCTTCCAAGGGTGGACCTTCTGCAGAAGGTAAATGCAGGCTGGGAGCCAGACATCCTGGTTGGCACAAGATGTGTAGCTCCTTACGTACACCGGGGAGCCCAGCTCCATGCCATCGCTTGCCTGGGGCTTGCATCCTTGCAGCTCAAGCCATGGCTTCATCCAAAAGCTGTGGCTTTCCCTGAGTTTCTGTTGCTGTGCTCTGCAAACTGCTCCAGCCCTCGATACTGGGGACCTCCAGCCCTTTCTCAGGACCTCCAGCCCTCGCTGGGCATCCTTGCTTGCTCCTTTCCCAGTCCCTCTCTCCTACAGGGGAGAAGAGTTTCAGCTCTTCTGCTGTCGCTTACAAGCCGGATCAGCTGCCCCCAGAAAACTCCTCCTTTCTGGAAAGGAGCTTCGTGTGCCGCTTTCGCTGCCTCCTGGATAATTCCTCCGGCTTCTTGGTGAGTACAAACCCACGCTGTGACCTCCACAGCAGGAGGGCTGCAGGCTCACCCAGAGGGGTTTGTGCCATTGCTGGAGCATAAAAGTTGGCCTTGAAAGACCCAGCGCTCCTTTCTGCTGTGCCCAGCCCCTGCCTGTCTCAAGAAGGAGAAATTTCTGCTGGTTTTCATAGGTTTGGCTTCTACCTACAACCTATCTTTGTGGGGTTTGTTCCTCTCTTCTCAGAGATGCTCAGTCTTGAACTAAAGTGCTTTTCCTCCACACATTTTGTCAGGTTTTTATGTTAAAGGCATCTCTTAAGACCAAGTAGGTGGTGTTCATCCCTCCTTCTCTCTGCTGGAAGTTAACGGGGTTCTTACCTTCACAACCATAGGTACAACAGCGCTGTTTCTCATCCTGCTTTAGTTTGGAAACTCAATATAGAGAAAAAGTCCTGGTTGTTGGTTGTTTAGATGCAACGCTATGGTTCCCGATGGGGCTGTGATACAGCTCAGTTAAAATGCGAAGCAGCCGGTGCATTGCCCGATGCCCTGATGCAACTGCAGCCTGTTCTCGGTCCTGCAGCCGCTGCGCGTCAGAGCTCCAGGCTGGCAGTGAGGAGCTGCAGGGGCAGAAAGCAGTGGGCTGCTGCCTCAGGGAGCTCAGGGTAACATCACTTTGATCCTCTGTCTTGTTTTAGTGGGGAGCACCGGTGTCGCAAGGGATTATTTGTGTCAACTCTGCAGCGAGATGGCTTGCTTTCTGTGCGGCTCTCCTCCCTCTCTTCTCTTTCTGCCCAGTTTTCTGCGTGACATCGAACTTTTCTTCCCTTCCCAGGCTTTAAACCTTCAAGGCAGGCTGAAATTCCTTCATGGGCAGAACAAAAGGTCTGAAGATGGGTCTGCGCTGCCACCCCAGCTCGCTCTCTTCGCTATCTCCACCCCCTTGCAGCTCCCGTCCATCCTGCAGATCCGAACCAAGAACATGATCTTCAGGACGAAGCACAAGCTGGACTTCACCCCCTTGGCATGCGATGCCAAGTAAGCAGCGGAGCCGATTTCAGGGGTGATGCTATGGGCTTCCAGCACGCCAGCCTGTACCCTGCCTGGGTGATGTCCCACCCCGGCTCCATCTCTGAGCTGGGTGCATTCTCGGTCTCCCGCAGGGGGAAGATCGTTTTGGGCTACACCGAGGCGGAGCTGCGGATGTGTGGCACCGGCTACCAGTTCGTCCATGCTGCCGACATGCTGTACTGCGCTGAGAACCACGTCAGGAGTAAGATCGCTTGTGCCCACCTCTGAGGGTGATGAATGAGCCGGGCTGTTGGCAGCTCCATTGGCTGCCGTGTCAACCCTGGCAGCTCTTTCCCCATAGGATGCTTTGCTTTTATGCCTTGCTGTGATGCTCTTGTCACTGCAGGGAGCTTGGGGAGGTGTGAAGTGAAGGGTATTTAGCTGGGATGGTGTCCCCTGCCTTTGCCAGCCATGCTGCTGCCGTGAGCCCATCTGCTTACGCCGGCTGGGAATGGCAGCATCGCTGGAGGCAGCCCTGCCTCTGTCGACGTGCTGACAGCCCTCAGCGTGCGTGCTTCTTCATGGCAGTGCTGAAGACAGGAGAGAGCGGCCTGACGGTCTTCCGCCTGCTGACCAAGGAGAACCGCTGGAAGTGGGTGCAGGCCAACGCACGGCTTGTCTACAAGAACGGCAAGCCCGAGTACATCATTGTCACGCAGAGACCCCTCGTGTAAGTGCCATCTGGGTCAGCCCAGCCTGAGATAGGGTCAGCCTGGCTTTTTCCATCGGTGTGGGCTCTGGGATGCCCTGAGCAGGGTGGCGTGTTTGATTCGTCATTGCTTCTTCTGCCTTTTAACAGAGCAGCCACAGGATACTGTGCTTTGATGCTGTTCAGCCACAGCCCCCTCTGCAAGGCCACCCTGCAAGTACGGGAGAGCGCTGAGCTGCCCTGCACCTCACATCCCTGCCCCAGTGTCCTGGGCACTGGTCCAGATTTACCCTGGGCAGACTAATGGCTGCTCTCCTGCAGCTGTAGGGACACATGGGTGCAGGAACAGCGAGGACCTCAAGTGTGGCTGTCGTATGGCAGCAGCCCAGCATCTCTGTCCTAAGGGGTGGCTGCAGCGCAGATGAGCAGGGCAAAGGTGTGACTTCTGTCTGGCAGAGCTCTATTACCCTTTGCATTTTAAGTATCCTCTTTATTATGCTACAGATGTGTGTTTTTTGTATGTGTGTATATAAAAAATATGTGTTCATTTGTACATAAATGCTTACTTGAATGTGTATGTGCATGGTTCTGCTTGGTATGTGCATGCTGGTCGTAGCAAAGGGGCTTTGGCTTGCAGGAATCGCAGCCATCCATTGCAGCAGCACTGCGGGGTGCGTTTGTGCACATGCCAGCCACAGTCTCCTCTTCCTGCCTTGCAGAGATGAAGAAGGAGGAGAGCACCTTCGGAAGCGGTCCGTGCATCTTCCCTTTACCTTTGCTACAGGAGAGGCGCTCCTATACCAAAGCGCTTACCCTCTCCCAGGCTTCCCTGGCCCCTTCCAGAGCAAAGGGAAAACCAGCAAGTCCAAGAAGACCTCCTGCAGCCGTGGAGGACGCTCCCAGAAAGATGCCGTTGACCCCAGTTCTCTGCTTGGTGCCATGATGCGACAGGACAAGGCAGCGTATGTCTCCCATCCAGCTGCTGCACCTAACCACTCCTTCAGCAGCAGTTTCGTGGACCATCTTGAGGACATGTCCTTGCTGGGTACAGGAGGAGATGCCTGGAGCACGGGCGCTGCTCCAGTTTCTTCAAGGGGGGACAGCCTCAAAGGGGAGCTGGTGGATTTGCAGCAGGAGGACCCTTTACTGGCCACCCTGGACTCGCTCTCAATTAAGAGTGACGAGAGCTGTTCCAACAACGAGCTGTTCAGTGCACTGGAGGGCCTGGGGTTGAATGCTGAGGACCTGGAGCTCCTGCTGCTGGATGAGAAAATGGTGATGGTCAATACGGAACGTGACCGCACCCAGTCCCTGAACGACTGCCTCGGCAGCGACGTTCTCTCCTATGTCCATGCCACTCTGGTGAACAAGTACGAGGGAGGACAACAACTCTGTCCCATGCCAGGCGTATCCCCAAGCCCATGTGGAGGCACTGCTACATCCCAGCCCCACGTTGAGGATGAGGACTCGCAGTGCCCACCTCAGCACGCGGTGCAGCCCGGCATTGCCCCTGGCCAGCCCTCTGCTCTGCTGTGGGAACAGCCCCTCCATGCCGTGCCGGGGCAGGCTCCCCCACCCCGTGGGACAAGGCACCCGGCTCGCCCCCAGGAGCCCCCCGCCCGCAGGAGTCACCCAGGGCTCGGCAGCTGGATGGTGGCTTCCCGGCCATGCATCCCACTCGAGAGGATGCTCGCCGGTTCTTCTCCCTGCCTGACCAGGGCCGGAGGCAGGTAGGACCACCCAGCCAGCTGAAACACCGTCACTTGCCGATGAACGGATTGTGTGGCCGCAGCCCTGACTCTGCTCCGCACCTCCTTTCCAGCAGCAGCCCCAGCCCATGGCAGGACTATGTTTCCCCGCTCCTGGGGTCCCCAGCTCAGGCTGCTTTTTATGGCATCAGCCAAGACTTGATCTCCCAGCGCCAGGGCTGCTTTGGCCCAGGGCCCAGCACGCCAGCAGAACGCTTCAACCTGAATGGGTTATGCAGCATGGAGACTGCAGGCAGAAGTGGGTCCCAGGAGGAGATGGCTCCATGCTCTGGGTTTGTCTCCCCCTCCTCGTCCCAGCTTATTCCTGACAAGCAGCTGACCCCTGTTCCCTCCGTGCCCCCGCACCCTTTTCCGAGCTCAGCTGCAGGGCGCTTGGGGAGCGTCGGCGTGGAGGAGACTCCCGTGAACTCCTGCGGGACACACACCTCCACGCTGAGCCAGGGGTGCAGGCACGGGGTAAGGGCCTTTCTCTGCTCTCGTGCTCAGTATTTTCTGTGCTGGTATTTCCTTGGGGTCTCGGCACGGGGAGGCACGCGCTGTCTGGTCAGTAGGCAGGAATCGCCTTGCTCTAGCTGGTGCACGGGCAGAAAAAAAGATTTCAGGAGCTTTTCTTTGCACCAAGAGTTGAAGAGCAAAAGACCAGAGTGTGGGTTCTTCCCTTTGGAAGGTGGCTGTCTCTGTGTCTGATGTCCATGTGGTTTGTTTAATTGCCCTTTCTGTGTAGGGAGTAATTCCAGCCGTGCACCGGTAAGCTTTGATGGGTGGTACAAAGTGCATGTGAGATGAAGATCTTCTGTACCATAAGGTCTTTTCTTTGTGGAAGTGTCCCCTGTCCTGTGCACAACCCCTATCGAGAGCCCCTCCACTGTCACTAAGTGAGTTCTGCAGCATTGGATCTGAGTGTCACGGTGCCCTTCAGGGCTGTCCTCGCAAGTGACTCCCCTGGGATTGGGGCCAAAAGCCCGAACTGGGGCTGCTTGGGGAGGGCGTAGGGAGTGAAAGCTGCTTGGCCGTTTCCCATCTCCCTGATGCAGAAGCCATGCGTGTCTGTAAGGCCCATCAGCTTTCTGGGCTGGGGCTGGTAGTGTGGAGAAGCTGGTCTAGGTCCTGGAGGAGCCCGTCTCTGCAGTGATGCTTCCCCAGCCTGCGGCACCACCAGGCAGGGTGAGATGTCTGGGGTGGGTCTGTCCTGCCTCCCTGCTTACCCAGCCCTGCCCTGGGTCCCCAGGGCAGCTTGTTCCTTGCTGTCAGACATCATCTGCTACTGGAAGGGTGCCCCGTTGTCTCATAGGGATCTCTCTGTTAACCTCTGTGGCGATCAGATATTGTTGAAGCGTCTTCTGCTTCTTCCTGAAGGCCATACTCTGCGCCTCAGGTCCTCCCATTCTCTGTCTTCTCCACTCAACACACCAGGCACCTTCTAGCTCTGTTGAAGAGTTTGACTCCGGTCCTGCCTAAGGCTTTGGGAGCTTGTAGGACCGGTGAAGAAGAGCCCTGATGCATATCTAAAGCTTGGTGGCCAACTCATGTGGCTGCCATGTTTTTGTCTTGCCAGGAGCTGCTGGTTTTGGCTGCACTTACCCTCTACGTGCTTTCAGCATCTTATCAATGAAGCGATGGGTCGGCACCTGAGAGAGAGGAGCTGGGGGAAGGTGTGGGGACATGTATGGGGTCGCTGCTAAGCCCCTGGGGGTACCACGGGAGGTGGTAGGGCAGGAGCAGACCTGCTCCCCCTCCTGCCAGCCTCCTCTGGGCATCAGCCCAACCAGTACCACTGCAGAATGCCTCAACACTCTGTTTTCTCTCTCTTCTAGCCTGAAAGCAGCTGTGTTTTGCCCAGTGCTCCCACGGGACTCCCCGGAGACTGCCCGGTGCTGGGGGGGAGCCTGGCTCCCCTCTGCCAGCCGCATCCACGGGCAGAAGCGCTGCCAGATCACCCTCACGCCTCCTCGAGTGGCTTTTTTCTCTCGGGGAGA